TACTATTATTATTTTATTTACTTCTTTTTTATTTAATATTGTTGCTGTTATTATTGTCATTCTATTTATCATTATATTGTTTATATGTATATATATATATATATATATATATATATATATATATATATATATATATATATATATATATATATATATATATATATATATATATATATATATATATATATATATATATATATAAATAAATAAATAAATAAATAAATAAATAAATATATATATATATATATATATATATATATATATATATGTATATATGCGTGTAGTTTTCAATAATAACAAACCAGCAGACCGTTGATTGATCAATCAATTATGACTATTTACTCAACTTTAGTTTATTCTTTTGAACACTAAGGAAAATAACTTGAAGAATTTCAGTAACTGGTAATCACTGACTATATAGAAGTATCCATAATAAGAAATACAAATACGATGGAAGACAATAGTAAACAGTTTCCAAAATGTAATAACATTTTCCCAATTATTTTTTTTATTCAATTAATCAAAGAAAGACACACACACGTTTAGAGTGAAATGGAGCGTGAGTAAATAATGACCAAATCTTCCTAAAAAACCTTCCTTTAACTACTGAGTTTCTCCTTTACTTGAGATCAACACACCTGCTATTTTGAGGATTTGTGTGAGAATGTCTTTGGGGACGTCCTCTCCATTTTTCACTGCTGTCTTCCTGTTTTGTATCCATTTCTCTCCCGTTTTCCTCAAGAGTACTGCTGCATCTCTAATTTGCTGTATAAGCTTCCAATTTTTGGGAAAAATCTGAGCTCCCAAACAACAAAAGCAAATTAAAAAACAAATCATAGCGTTAACCCACCTTCTTTACAGCGACGTGTTTTTGGATACATTTTCTTACCCTAAATAATGGGTCCCTGGCATCCAAGGCCATGCCATTTAAACACAGCTCTATTGCATTCTGGAAGGGACTATCCTTTTGAGTCAAGAAGTTTAAATCAACACCAAAAGCCACCTGTAAATGGAAATATTACTACTGAGTACTGATCAACAGCTGATTTGACACATTAGACTTTCCCTTGGATCAATAAGAAGGATGGAGAAACCTTGCAAATGACATCAAGTGTAACACAGTTGACCAGGTCGTGCATGACGGCAGGGGTTTTGTTGTTGGCCATTTCCTCCAGCTTGTCCATCAGGCGTTCTGACATCTCGTCAAAAGTGCTTATTAAGCTTCGTAAGTATCTGATAAATAAGCCAGAAACAGATATATCATCAGTCATATCACTGTGGCAAGCAGAATCAGGCCAAAAATTAGGAGACCAGCATGAGCCCAATGGATCTTAAAACTCCTTATTAGTCTTCTTGAAATGTGCCCAGCACCTCTTCAATGCAAGCCCCAAGGGGGGAAATACATAGGCCACACACATACACACTTAGTATAGGGAACAAGGAGATTCACAGTTAAACTGTTACACACACTGTATCTTTTTATTTAGAAAACAGCACTATTTAGGGATAGAGACAGGGTAAATGTGATTAAGGGGTAAATGAAGCCTTTTATGTCACATGAAGAGTGCGCAGGTTTGATCTGCTTCAGCCCAGAGAGACAAACAGTAAAACATAGTGGATCATATGAGCTCAGCACGGCCCCAAAAAATACCAAACCCATTTAAATTACACAGAAAATTGTATTTTAAAGTGTAGGAACTGTAAGCCAGACTATTATAGCCTGTATATATTATAAACGTATACATTACTATTATAAACTGTGGCTGTCATGAGTCTGATGCACTTGGGCTCAACAGTTTTGAATGGCAGAGGTGTAGACAAACAAGAGTGGCTGTTTTCAAAAATGAGATGGTGTTACTTTAAGTCCCGCCCTGTCTTCCTATTTCAATTAAAACATCAAACATTGGATATAAAATGCACTTTTAAAAGCACTTCAATGGATCTTTAAATAATTGGATGTTAGGAAAAGAGGAAATGGAGTTCATTTATGGATTTTAACACTAGTGTGTCATGTGCAGTGCTCAGCATAATTAAGTACACTTTATTATATAATATTTTTATCCATTTCTCAGTGAATATAGGCAATGTATTTTGGTGCATTTAAACAAAACAGATTTATTAAAAAGATGTATTTATTAAAATCATATTTTTGTCACCAAACATATTTTGAAATTTAAAGATAATACAATTAATTCACGCAAAAGATTGCACTTAACTAAATGTAAAAAACAAAATGATGGGAAACCACATGGGAAAGCTAGGTTGCTGCCGGAAGTCGTGTTAGTGAAGCCAGCAGGGGGCGCCCAACCTGCGGTCTGTGTGGGTCCTAATGCCCCAGTATAGTGGCGAGGACTCCATACTGTTTAGTGAGTGCCATCTTTCGGATGAGACATTAAAATAAAAATATAACAAATATAATATTGTATAGCTTCCTATTAAAAATATGAATGTAAAAGATAAAATTGTGAGGGGTGTGTGCTCATATATGCTGAGAACTGAATGTGACTCCCATTAGTATTCTTGTCTAATGTTTCTCAGCCTCATCCTGCTTGCCATAATCACATTTCAGCATTTTTCCCTGTATTTGACTCACGAGCTGCTGAAGGCTGGATCCATGATGCGACGCTGCCTGTACCAGATGTCATGGTCCACAGCTGTAACAAGCCCATTTCCCAAGAACCTAAAAAGAAAGATGTATGACTTACACAAGTGAAAATATTCACTGTCAGTGAATGAAGAAAATCAAGATGACAATTTAACAGCTGAATATTGAATAGAGGGCATTGCATTTATGCAAAGTTTATTCTAACAAGTTTAAAAATGATAATAACAAATAACAAGTAATAATAAATAAAAAAATAAAAACACAATGTAGCCTGCTCCACCTTCATGCAAACTTGCCGGTTTAAAGTTTTTTTTTTATTCTAACAAAGGTCATTCCATGAAGTTTTGTTTGTTTACTGCACTGACTTGCTGCATGTTGTGTTACAAATTTGCAGGTCAGAGTTAACTTAAATTGAACTTTGAAACGTAATGAAATTTATATTAGCTCATGTCTCTTAACAGTAAGACAAATGTATTTTGAGAACCGTGGGCCCTTTTAGATTGTCAGTGTACTGTGTGTTCATTCAGTAAAACTAATTATAAATATTGTCTTAAAGGACACCTATGATGAATATCATCATTTGGGAGCTATTTGGATAGAACTGTGTGTAAATATAGTGTGTCCACGGTCACAAGATGGCGGCGGCAGCATTTGCTCTGAATGGTTTGGTTGGCGTCACTCATGAGCTTAAAAAATATAGAGTTTTTATCATAATTTTTATGTTTCTTTAAAGCTCTTTTAAGCTTATTTATTGTCTTTTAACAAACTCTTTGTGTGATCATTTGAAATGAAGCAGCAAAAGCAAAGACAAAGCAAAATCGTCTTGTACCTCGTTTTCTGTGGCGTCCTAATATTAATGCCTGTTTCATTCACGTGCACAAGCATTTACACTCTAAACAGTTGCTTTCTCCACAGCAGTTTGGTTTTAGAGAGAAATATTCCACAAAATAAGCAAATTGTTATCTGCTTGAAAAAACAAAAGGGTCACAGGATAAAGGTAGTGTGGTTGGGGCAGTGTTCCTGGACCTAAAGAAAGTGTTTGACATAGTTAAATCACAGTATCTTACTAAATAAATTAAGAGAGTTCAAAATGTCAGCAGAAGCTTTACAGTGGTTTGGATCCTATTTGGGTGGGAGACAGCAATGTGTAAGGGTCAATGGGGTGAAGTCATCTGTGCGTTCTAACAATATGGGAGTACCTCAAGGGTCTGTTCTTGGCCCATTGTGGTTTACAATGTACAAAAATTATCTTTCAGATTGCTGCCCAGGGGTTAACTGCCAGTTATTGGCAGCTAAAACACTGTGCTGGGCAGGTGAGCAACTGACCCAGTCTTTACAGCATATTTCAAGATGCCTTGAGCTGTTGCATTTAATGTTGAATGTAAAGAAAACGGTATATTTATGGGTAGAAAACAAGGCAGGTCGGGCAGCAGGTGAACAAAGACTGAATACATGACGGTAGCGGTCGGGTGCGGAATAAAACCTGGCGGAAGCGGGATTAAAAATCCAGTTCCGTGCAGAAATCTACTCCAAAGTGAATGCAGGTGCATCAAGTCATTCTACCTTCCAGGTGCTGCGAAGTGGTAGTTAAACTTTTAGTGGTAAAATAGAATTTTACAAACTGAAAATACATTTTACCAGACTTTTTTTACAGATCTTGCAGGGTTTAGCTCCAACTCGCCTCAACACACCTGGCTGGATGTTTCAAGTATAGTAAAGCTGACCTGCGAAATCGCATCACTTGACTGCGTAAGATCAATCGAGGATCAAAACATGACCTCTCTGGACAGAAATTTAAAACATGGAGCAATCGCTCGCTTTTTTAAATGTGTAATAATCTTGTTTAATCCCGCCCCTTTTCACAGCGCCGCACGACAGAATATGGCACGCTCAAACTCTAATGTGACCGCAGCTTAAGATCTTGATTAGCTTGTTCAGGGGTGTTTGATTAGGGTTGGTGCTAAAATCTGCAGGAAACCCTACCTCCAGGAACAAGTTTGGTGACCCCTGGTCTAGAATGTGGAAGAAGCCTGAAGGTATAATGAAACTAAACCAAAAGCTTTATGAAGGTCTAAAACTGCTTCATGAGGATCCATCTTCATTTTAGAGCTGCAACAACGAATTGATTAAATCAATTAAAATCGATTACTAAAATCGTTGACGACGAATTTCATAATTAATTTGTTGTGTTGTGGGGACGTTTGATTATTTAAAAAATCCTTTAGCTCAATGCGGAGCTGAGTGAACACAGTCTCTCTCGCACACTAATACAGAGTTCTGCGCCTTAAGGCTGATTTATACTTCTGCATCAAACGCACATGTATGCTACGGCGTTGACGCATAGCCCTATGCCGTGGCCGTCGGCGTCGTTGACGTGCACCTCTCAAAAAATGTAACTACACGTCGCAATGACGCGTAGCGCAAGCTCTGTGATTGGTCGGCTTGGAAGCGATGACGAGTCTGGGCGGGACAGAGAGCCGCGCGAATGGCGCGACCCCGATGGAGCGATTGTTTACAAGTGTGGAGTCCTGTGAAGGAGCTCCGGATGGAACGTTTTGTTATGTGTTTACCTCATTGGTTCCTGCCTCAAAATGAGCGAGTTTGAGCCACTTGTAAATTCAGAAAGTGTTCAGGAAAAGCAAAACACCAGCGAAGAAACTCGACACAGAGGAACATGAACACCTTACTGCCAACTAGCGTTTCGGAAGTGTTAATGCAGACCAACAGAAACAGCGTGCAGAAGTATAAATGCACAGCTACGCGCGTTACATGCGCCGTGGGTTACGCCGGTCACTTGATGCAAAAGTATAGACCAGGCTTTATGGGATGAGGAGGAAGGGAGTTCAACAGCAGGGTAAATCACTACAGAATCATACTTTTGTTCCGTTTTGAAGTAAGGACCATAAAGTCCCTGGCGCTGATGTTTTACTCGTTATCCAGCTCGACAAGCATTAGCGTTCATCAAACTTAGCTTTGGCACGTTGTCTGGCGCTGAGCAGAGCTCTCAGTAAGGGGCCGTCAGAAAAGTGCTTCATATTTTTCATTTTTATTTTTATTTTTATTGAAAACAAAACCAACTTAACCCCGCTGAGAAAGACTTGTCATATTATCATAATTATGCAGCGTTTCAACCGCCTAATGACTAGTTTATGTTTTAGACCTGTAAACACACACACATACTAGTAAATCAAAACATTTAGAGTTTGTAAAACACACAAAGAAGTCTAATAATCCATTCAAATATAATTTGCAGATGTGTTTTATTCATATCCGATACACATAGTGAAAGAAACTATAAAGTTGGATCTACTTTTCTCTAAGTTCACCAGCCACTTGCATGTATTTGGGAAGTAACTGGTGAATTTATGTGCTGAATCCTGCGTGTTCTCCTTTTTATGAATGAAGAAAACGCACGGCCGCAAGTAAACATGGTGGCGACCATCTCACGTTATAGATCACGATCACTCAAGCAGGTCGCACACCAGAAGCGCCGCTCGGCGGCGCGCCGCACAGCGCCACGCCGCGAGCGCCACGCCGCGCCATGCATTTTAGAATTCTAAACATAGGTTTCTATCAGGATACACACACCGGCGCCGCAAGTCGGCGGCTGTCGGCGGCACCCGGCGACGGCTCAGGACGCAGTTCATTTTTGAGCCGCGCCACAGAGCGCCATCTAATTAGTTTCATGTTAAATATCATTCGAATGTGCGCGTCTGGTGTGCGATACTTTAAACTGTCATGTACGCGCCGTGTTGCGGCGCCGAGCGGCGCTTCTGGTGTGCGACCTGCTTTACACGTTTATGTGAACAGGTAAAACTTCTGTTTGAGATTATATCTCATTGAGATCATTTTTCTTACCCAATTGAAAAATAATTTCACAATTTTTCACATTTTTTTTTCAAGCAAACAATCACTTAATTTTGAGGTATTTTTTTTTTCTCCAGAAAACAAGACAAAATTTTGTATGCTATTTCATGTGTCTAGTATGTATCTTGATTTAAAAATATGTAGATATTTGGATTGAAAACAGTACAAAACTACTTAGTTTATTTTATTATTATTATTATTATTATTATAACAGTTTAGGGATGAGCTTTTTGAATAAACAGTTGGAAATTAATGCTTTTCTTTTTTTCTTTTATCTGATTCATTGATTAGTTAATTAAAATAATCGTTAGCTGCAGCCCTGGTTGATTTCATACATTTAAAGGCACATAAAAGGTTTCAAAGCACTCATACATAAACTAACTGCCACACAGGTAAAATATGAATCTAATGTGACCTCTAACATGATGGTGGTGGTAACATTCCTGCAATCAATGTAGAGATGTAACAATTTTGAAGCAAATGAAAGATTACCTTTTTCCAAACAAGTTAAAGAGGCGACTGTAGGAAAATGGATCTTTTGCATACTTAGGTGACATCAAGATTGTCTACAAAAACAGAGAATCATCATTATTTTATTGCTTCCCCACATGAGATACTTTTGTAAATTGGTTATGAACCATACTGTAGTGTTTCACATACATATTTTAATATTTATAACACTGTTAATGTGTGCAGCAGCATACTTTAATATCAACTATAGTGAATTGATGAACTGCGATATATACTAAAATATACTACAGTTCTTACTACAGTAATTGTGGTGTTTTGTTGTGCAATGTTCCCTATGAACCATTTTCATCATTATTTATTTTTTTATTGAGTGAAGAGAACATAAATGACTGATATGAAAAACATTGTGAAAGGCTTTCCACTTTTAAACTTTTGTGACAGAACAATAAAACAATTATATATATATATATATATATATATATATATATATATATATATATATATATATATATATATATATATATATATACATATATATACATATATATATATATACACACACACACACATATATATATATATATATATATATATATATATATATATATATATATATATATATATATATATATATATATATATATATATATATATATATACACATACACACACACACATCACTAATATATATATACACACACACACATATATACATATATACACACACACACATATATATATATATATATATATATATATATATATATATATATATATATATATATATACATATATATACACACACACACACACACACACACACACACACACACATATATATATATATATATATATATATATATATATATATATATATATATATATACATATAAACAATATAATGATAAATAGAATGACAATAATAACAGCAACAATATTAAATAAAAAAGAAGTAAATAAAATAATAATAGTAAAAAAAATACACAATGTTATCACCATCTTAAATCCTTTTAAGTTTTTAATACTTCGATATGCTTAGAAATGTGTTGAAAAAAATCTTCTCTTCGTTAAACAGAAATTGGGGAATAAAATAAACGGGGGGACTAATATATCTGACTTCAACTGTAATACATTTGTACACAAATAAATATATATTTATTATTTATTTTTTCTATGCACTATTGACTCTTCTCAACAAATGTACAGAAATAAATGTATATTTATATATTTATTATAAATTTTTTCTATGCACTATTGACTCTTCTCAACAAACATCAGATTTTTAAAGCTTAATGTCCATAGCTGACTATCATGGTGAAAAAAACAACTGATCATTTTAAGCAGTATGGCTCACATGATGACAAATACACTTTCTGTTTCGGTGGCCTTTGCCAAATTAGTGACAAAATAACTAGGTTTTGATGCATGAATTAAATGTTTTGGGGGAGTAACGACAACCAGCAAACAGTTTTGAGATTTGCACTTACAGTTTAAGTGAGAATGTTAAGTCTCTTTTGAAAAATGTGCCAAAGCAATTTGGAAAAAACTGTATTATTTCAGCAAATATGATTGTAAAAAAATGTATTTCATTACTATAAAATTATTTTGTATTATTATAGCTGTTGTATTACCATAGCCACTACAGAATTACCACAACAGATTAATTCAAGTGATTTATTATAGTATATTTTCATAGGGATTCTGGCTAAAACACACACACACACACACACACACATAAAAGATTAAATATTTACCTTCGTAGCCTCTGGGCAGTGAACCAATATTGCAATATAATGCAAAGTGTTAATCCTGTAAACGGGGCCATATTTTTCTGCCCTTAAAAAGAATTTTAAAACAAAATGATCAAACATTAAAAGTCACAAACAGACTGAATATGAAGTATATAGGTACAAGATCAAATTAATAAGGCAACAAGTAAAAATAAATAACATATATAAATAAATGTTGTAATAATAAATACATTACATAATAATAATATATAAAACATGTAAAAAAAAAAATTCGGTTCATACAAGCGTGTCAGACTTTACAACAGGTCTCAAACTCAATTCCTGGAGGGCCGCAGCTCTGCACAGTTTTGCTCCAACCCCAATCAATCACAGCTGACCTAGTAATGACTAATAGTCTTGAACACCTTAATTAGTTCAGCTGTGCTCGATTCGGATTGGAGCAAACCTGTTCATCTGTTTCCATCATCATTTACAATAAACTGTTGACATACTCAGTTCTCATCTATGTCCTACTTCTGTGACAACAGCTTCCAAGTTACAATGGGTTTACTCACTTTCTAATTAAAGTCAACTTGTCGTGTTTAAGGTCATGGGTTTATTCACAATTTAAAGTAAATAATAACTATTATTACAGTCCCAAGAATCTGATGTGTAAACAATAAATAATTTAATTAATTCAAACTTGTTATTTGAAACATTTTTTTGCTAATTTCTACAATAAACATATATTTAACTTACTGTCTTAAATAGAACTTTCTTAAATAGATAAAACTATGGATTAGCAAAGGTTTATAAGCACTGTGAAAAATGCTTTATTTTTAGCTAATTTAAACAACAACAACAACAAAAACATCTGAACATTGTTTTTGGATATGCAAACTGCAGTATAACAGAACAATTGACTAAAATGAAATCGCAATGGACGTTACATAAATGTAGCATTTTTAGGAATCAGTTGTCTTTATATGAGTTATATTTTGGAATGTATTATTATTACTATGTTATTAAAAGCAAGTTTTATGTTTACCTCTTTCTGTTTACTTTTTACAGAACCTATTACTTATAACTTATTACAAAAACCTATTAATCTGCTTATAACTGTACACTGTCAAATGAACAAAGTCACAAAAGAAACATTAAAAATTAGATATGACATGACAAATGTGATATACAATACAACAAAATGTGTGTTTTACATATTAGTGTTGTTAAACAATTAATG